AAAAAAAAAAAAAAAATAAAAAAAAAAAAAAAAAAAAAAAAAAAGGGTCTGCTCATCGCCTTTATTTAAGGATCTCAAAATATTATCTTATTTATTTATTTATTATTTATTTTTGGGTTGTGAATGAGGCAAACACTAACCCAACATTTGGTTCCTCATGTTTTTTGCTTCTTAATTATTATATAATTCTCTCTTTGGGACCATTTTATATAATAATACTACATTTTCCCATTTTCACTTTAATTGTTCTACAATAATTTAAATATTATAAAATGGGTAAATGTGATTTCACAATATTTATATTTCTTTTCTTTTTTTTTTTTTTCATTCTTTTGAAGAAGAATAACACTTGTTTAGTATAAAAAATTAAAAATTAAATTAATTAATTAATTAATTAATTTAATTTTTTTAAGAGAAAATAATGGGGTTTGTCAACTTTCCACTTAACAAGACAACAAATAAGAACATTTTATTATAGAGAATTTCAATGTTTTTTTTTTATATCTCGTTTGATAAAAACATTGAAATTGTAGAAAAAAAAATTATAAATACAAAAAAGTTTGTATTTATTTATTATTATTATTTGTGTTTTCAAAACAGTAAATAAAAGGCAACCACAGTTTCCATTGTCTTGAACTTTGAATGTGATAATAATAATAATTTATTTTTATTTTGTAAGAGCAAATCTTAGCTTTTAAGTCCAAAAATGGACATTGTGTTTGGTCACCATCATAGCCTTGTCCATCATGTGCATGCATCAATACCAACTTAATTCATAAAATTATTAATAATAATAATTTTATGCATTCGACGGTTGAACTATGTTTAAATTGGTTCAAATACTTTGAATATTAATCCAAAATACGTAAAATTATGTTATGAATTTACATTCGTAATACTAAGTATGACGTTTTTAATTTGAATCATATTGTATATTTACAACTCATTTTCATCTCCTCGTAATTTTTAGTAATTATTGTTCTTTTTCTTTATTATTAATTCAACTATTCCATTCGAAATTTTTATTTATATATATATATTTAGAATTAAAGTAATTTGAAAAGTTTTTCTCGCTCTTTTTAGGTCAACAACATCCGGTAGGTGTGACGGTCTGAACCTAATTTGATTAAAGACAAATATTTTCAACTAATTAAAGAAATAAAGTATTAAAAATTTATAATTTTATCCAATAATTTATATATTTTGGGAGGGTATAAATATATGTTTATATTCCTTTAATTTTTTTTTATACTTAATTAAAAAGAATTACACGATAATTTTCTACTATTTTAATGAGATTTTTGCAATAATAATAATAATAATAATAATAATAATGTGGAGAACAGACCAAAATTAAAGCATCTGAATTCTATAAAAGGGGAAGAACAAAGCATAATATTCCATTTGTTGAGATTGACAAAATATTTGCGAACTTCATTCATTCATCTCTGTCAGTTTCATGAAACAGATCAATTTCTGATCTAAAGAAACATCGTTGCATTTGATACTCGCTTGGGTTTTCGATCAAAAGATTCGTTCCTACGCCATTTGAAGAAATATCTCTTCCAAGTGCAGCTATGGAAGGAACGAACTACAAACTGCTGAACTCGGCGTTTCTTCAAAGGTTTTCTTGAGATTCTCCTTTTTGCTTTTGACCGTTTCTTTTCGAGAAAGAAAAAGGAATATAAACTATTTTCTTTCTCGCTTTGTTTTCCCGAGAAAATTCACCCTATTTTCCCTCTTTGATTTTAATCGAATCGATTGTCGATTGTGTTTATCGTGTTCTGTTCATCTATCACTGTGCCCTCCTTTTGTCGATTTCAATGCATTTGGAACAGCAAGTTTCTCGGACTATTCCATTGAATATCACACATTTGGTTCATTTCTTCTAGAATCTCAAGAATTTTCTATGTTTTTAAGTTCATTTTGTTTTGATTCTTCTTATGTATGTATATAGCCATTGCTCCGACGGTTAACTTTCTTGTGAGTAAGAAATTTGATCAAATCTGTCCCTCCGACGGTTTTGATTCTGTTTCTTGTGTTCTTTCTTGTTTTCTGTCTATTTTATGTTCTGTTCTGTTAATTTTGGATAGCAATTTATTTGATCTTCCAAACATTCTTGAGAGTGACATGAACTGTTTGTCAAAATGCTATTTCATTTACTTCTTTGATTTGGATCAGTGCCATTGATGAAAAATTGCAATATCAACAATGACTCTCAGAAAACAAGACTCAGGAAAGAAGGTGAATGAATCTTCAATGCTCTCTCTCTCTCCTTTTTCTCTCTCTTCCCAGTTTATTTGAATCCTAAAGTGTTTTTTGGTGGCTTGTTATCATGAATTTGTACTCGTCTTTTTATCTTACAAAAAAGTGGCACAGACTTTGCAACTTTTGAAGCTAATATCATTGAATAATACCTTTTCTTTTTCTTTTTCTCTTCTGCTTCCAGTCCTTCATTAGAAAAATATTTGCCATGGGAGAAAGAAATGGGAAGAAAGAATGCAAAGGCTCATTTGAGTCCACTGGTGAGTTTCAAAAGAGATATGCTTTTAGATAAAAAAAATGTATAGTCATTGAGGATAAGTTTGGTGTGCCTTTTCAAGCATATTGTTACTTCTCTGTGAAGATTTTATAATGTAAAACGATAGCGACAGGAATAGAATTGTTTCAACTAAATCCAAATGGAGAATATATTCAATTCTCATCTTTAAACTTGTTAGAGATGAGAAAGGAAGCTATGTTCGAATATTTTTCAATCAGTTGGTTAAAACTATAGAGTTTGACTGGGTTGAAAAAAGATCAGTGGATATTTTCTTGGTATTTTAAGTCATTTTCGTTTGTTTTTTCTCTTTTCAATCCATATGTAGATCTGAATTCAGACCTACAGCTAGACAGAATAGGCAGCACAGACTCTGTAATGGCTCCTGGAGAAGTTCAGTCCATCCGGTACTGGTTATGACATGATCGCTTTGATCTTCTTTTCGTTTTGACCAGATGATGAGCTTGTACTTTTTTTTTGTGCATTAACATCTGTTTTTCTTGGTTCAGTGTTTTTGTTGCGACGTGGAATGTTGGAGGAAAATCTCCCCATACCAACCTCAATTTGAACGATTTTCTTAAGAATGACAACAGCGCTGACATTTACGTATTCGGGTATGTTTTCTTCCCCTTTTCCCTGTTTTCTTCCATTTTCTTTTGAGTTTGGTGGTTGTTAGGAATAGAGTTCATTCATCTTGCTATTCTATGAAGTTCTTCTAATCTGTTCTTGCAGCGACACCGTGGATAGTAGTAGCCTCCGACCGCTATTTTTTTTATAATTTTCCATTTGGTTGTTTATATTTCCAATCGTACCAGTGGATTGATGTGTTGTATAAACTATTTCTATTATCAGTTTTCAGGAAATTGTGCCTCTAAATGCTGGAAATGTTCTTGTTATTGAAGACAACGAGCCAGCTGCAAGATGGTTATCCTTAATTAACCAATCATTGAACAACCCAATAAATGGCGGCTCAAGAGGACTGAAACCTACCTCCAGTCTTGGAGGGTCGAAATTCTTCCCCAAGCCTTCCCTTAAAAGCATCAGTAAAACTTTCAGGACCGTAAGTAGACGGAAGCTAAAAAGTTGCAATTGTACACCACTGGAACTCGAAAGGAAACGCAGCAAGGATTTCTGGTTCCGATGCCAACCATCGAATGTGAGTGAAGATGGCATTTCTTCAGAAGAAGATGACGACGAGGAGGACCCGAACACCTTTGATATTTCAGAAATTTCCATTCCCGAAAGCTGTAATGAGACAAAGTACGGTCTAATTGCGAGTAAACAAATGGTTGGCATTTTTGTCACAATTTGGATGAGGAAGGAGCTTGTTCCTCATGTTAGCCACTTAAGAATTGCGAGTACCAGTCGCGGGATCATGGGCTGCCTCGGGAACAAGGTAACGCTTATATATTTTGAGTTCCCCTGTCTACATAACATCCATTGTACGTTGTTTTGAAATCGTGAGGTTGGTTCGTGTTTTCCAGGGGTGCATTTCAGTGAGCATGTTACTTCACCAGACAACCTTTTGCTTCATCTGCAGCCACTTGGCTTCTGGAGAGAAAGAAGGGGATGAGCTAAGGAGAAATTTGGACGTCATCGAAATCCTCAAGAACACTCAGTTCCCGAAAATATGCAGACTGCCTTACAGTCGGATGCCAGACAAAATCCTCGGACACGAGTGAGCATCTTAATTGTTTGATTTGAAAAAAAAAAACATGTTCATATAAATAAGAATAATGCTGCTTGGTAATCCATTCCATATGACATGTATGTTTTCTAGTTACTGAGTTTCTCATTTGTGTTGATGAATTGGCTCAAGACGAATAATATGGTTAGGAGACTTGAATTACCGGATAGCTTTGAGCTACTCGGAAACTCGAAGACTCATGGAAGCGAATCACTGGGATGCACTTCTCAACAAAGATCAGGTAACCGTCATATAGAGTTGTACTAACAATGCCTAATCATTGTAGCAATATTCATTCTCTTTTACACCTTCACTTTCTTAAACTTGAAGAGATGAGATTACTTGTAACACTCCAAGCCCACCGCTAGCAAATATTGTCATATTTGGGTTTTCCCCTTCGGAGTTCCCCTCAAGGTTTTAAAACGCGTCTGCTTGGGAGAGGTTTCTACACCCTTATAAAGAATGTTTGGTTTCCTTCTCCAACCGATGTGGGATCTCACAATCCACCCCCTTTCGGGGCCCAATGTCCTCGCTGACACTCGTTCCCTTCTTCAATCAATGTGGGATCCCCAATCCACCCCCTTCAGGGCTCAACGTTCTTGCTGGCACACCGCCTCATGTCCACCCCTTTTGAGGCTCAGCCTCTTCGCTGGCACATTGCCTGGGCTGTTACATTACTGTTTGCTATAAAATTGCTGCCTTGGACAAAACAAATTCTGATTGAAGTTTGAGATTGTGTTCGTAAATTGAATGATGTTTCGAGCTGATTCTTATGTTTTGTTTGATGTTGTAGTTGAAGATCGAAAGGGATGCAGGTCGAGTGTTTTGTGGATGGAAAGAGGGGAAGATATACTTCGCACCCACGTATAAATACTACTACAATTCAGACACATACGCCGGAGACTTGAAAAAATCGAAAAAGAACAGAAGAACTCCAGCTTGGTAAGTATGGCATTGAAAAGCATACAAACTCTTGTTCTAATCAACCCACCCACATAACAAGTGATCATGATAATTCATGGAACAATGCAGGTGTGACAGAATTTTATGGCATGGTGATGGAATACAACAACTTTTTTACATCCGTGGGGAGTCCCGATTCTCCGATCACCGCCCCGTTTGTTCAACATTCTTAGCCAATGTCATGGTTGTAGAAGGAGGGCTTAAGAAGAAAATGGCTAACTCTGACATGAAAGTTGGGGCTGAAGAATTGCTACCAACAAACCGTAGATATTACTCCTAAATGAAAGCTTAGTAGCTTAATCTAACCATTCATCACGAGAACGATGAATTGTCGAAGTTTTGCCCGACACTGAAACTCGTAGGATCATGTAGAGAGATCATAACAAAACCAGCAAGTTGATGATGATCACTATCATCAGCCATGGATGCAGATCGTTGCTTACAGATGCATCACATCAGATTGCAGCAGTAACATTTGATTATTTGATTATTTGAATATATATATATATATATATATATATATATATTCTGCTATTTTGATCACGTGCAGGGTCACGTGATGGAAGGTGAACAAATTATTTAAAAATTAGCAAAAACTCCCAAGTTTTGATTTTTTTGCTTTGGAAATTGGAAGTTCTTCAAGTCAAAGCATACATACATGTTTGCATCACATGGCTCACACTCACTCACCCATTGGATCTGCCTTGAAAACTGTGTTTGATCTTTGCTGATTAATGCAGGCCATTGATATTTTCAAACTTTTTGGATTAATTGCAAATCACTCCCTCGAGTTATTTACTTTACAGATCCACCCCCCCTGAAGTTACTGTCTTGATTGTACATATGAGTCTAGTTTAGATTAATTGCAAATCATTCCCTTAGAATTTTTTACTTTGCAGATACACCCCCACCCTGAAGTCACTGTCTTGATAATACATGAGTCTGGATTAGATTAATTGCAAATCACTCCCTTAGAGTTATTTACTTTGCAACCCCCCC